ACAAAGAATGGCTGACACTTATTTTGTTGAGTTGAAACAGGTGCAATCTGTGCACGTGTTCTTTCTGTAGTAGGAGTTTGGATGGGCACCCCATTAATCACCCAAATGAGACATCATCAAGAGGAGAGCAAGGAAAGAGGTTAGATTTGGAAGCAAGACCATGGGGTTTGGACAAGGGAGCAGTCATCAGCTTTGGGATACCATTGAAAGGGAGGGTGGGAGGAATTGTTGGGAGTTGAGGAATAAATGACACTTGGAGGTGGGGTGCATGGGAGGACCATCAGCCATAATGGAACACCATTGAGCTGGAAGGAAGGATGTTGGATCAGAATAGCGTAGGTCAGGACCATACACGCCATCAAGGCCCAATTAAGAGGTGAGGCACTAGGCCCTTTAGTTTACTTCAACTTACGCTTCTTTTGGACCTGGATAGATCATAGACCATAGAATCCCAACAAGCCCACACCGCCCCTCTGGAAAGCATCCCACCCAGACCCATTCCCATTCCCCTAATTTCCCATGTCTAACCCACTTAACCTAAACATCCGTGAACACTATGGGCAATTTAGCATGGCCAATCCACCTACCCTGCACATTTTTGGACTGTGGGATGAAACCGGAGCACCTGCAGGAAACCCTCACAGACAGTGGGAGAATGTGCAGACTCCACATGGACAGTTGCCCGAGGCTAGAATCGAACCCAGGTCCCTGGTGCTGTGAGGCAGCAATGCTAACCACTGAGCCACCATGTCGCCCTGGAAATAGAGCAAAAAAAAGAGTCCCAAAAGCTGACATAAACTGAGAAATAAAGAAGGGCATACAGAATCTGGCATATCCTAATTTAAAGAAAAAACTATTTAACCTATTTTTTTCCAAGCAGCCTGTTCAGAGATATTATTACAGACTTCTGGAGCAGGTGAGACTTGAACCTGGGCCTCTCTGTTGAGAGGTACAGACATTATCTGTGCTCCACAGAGGGACCCCTGTCGCATCTTAATTGGCCACTGATAAATGTTGTTCAAATGCAACCATTAGCCAGTTACGTTATCATTTGGGAAGGTCAATGTGTCTAATTGACTGCTTTGGACACTGAACATCTTGCTTTACAGGCTATTTGGCAAACGCTGCTGGGTCCCCCTCAAGGCATGGGCCCTTCTGGTCAACACCATGTGCACCAGGTCCTCCTGGACCCTTCCTTAGGGATCCAGCCCAAATGGACCAGGTGACACTCATTCATTTTAAATAGTCCCTGTCTTTTTAGTACCTTATCTCCACCTTTCTTTAAATTATTTCCGGTATTCCAAGTGCCTAATTTGTCACAGCTTTAGAGAAATCCTATTCCTAATTAAACACCCATGTAAAGCACTGATTTAGTACATGGACATACATTGTTAAAATTTCTGATGGCCCAGACCCGAAATGTCAGCTTTCCTGCTCCTCTGATGCTGCTTGGCCTGCTGTGTTCATCCGGCTCTACACCTTGTTATCTCAGATTCTCTAGCATCGGCAGTTCCTACTATCTCTGTATTGTTAAAATACTTTTACTTTTGATAACACACTTGCACTCTTAGATTAGCTTCTAATTTTTGTATTTTTGCTCTGCTACTTCCTTTATACTTCTCTTGACTTTTTCTTTTCATCTTATTCTCCCTTGTATTATCTAATTGATACCTATTATCAGTGAGCTCTGACTTTGAAACAGAAACAGCTGGAAAATCTCAGCAGGTCTGGCAACATATGTAGAGAGAAATCAGAGTTAACGTTTTGCAGCTAGTAACCCTTCTTCAGAACACACGTAGCTCTGACTTTGGTTGCCTTTCTTTATCCCCAGTGGGAATTGCCAAGCCAGTGCCTAAACCATCACCTCTTGAAAATGCTCTCATTTCTGCTTGCTTTATTACATCTCTCCCTGCCAATATTTACTCAAAAGTACCTGAGCAGATCTTAACTGAAAATAACCCTCCTCCAATTAAGTGTTATTTCACTCCCATGACATTCTCCACCTGACCTTACTCAATTCCCCAGGAAAAGATCCAGCAATAGTTCCTTTCCCATTGAATAGAAAACATGGTGAACAAGAAAATTCTCCAGAACGTACTTCAGGAATTTGTCTCCTCTGTCCTTGTAGATCATACAAATGCATGAATTAGGAGCAGGATGGGCTATGGCCCCTATGGCCAGCCCTGCCATTCAAGAAGATTATGACTAATCTGTTGCGTCAACTCCACATTCCCATCTATCCCCGATAACTTCTAACTTCCTTATGAATCGAGTATGTATGTGTCATAATATTCTGTATAACTGTAGCAAACCATCCTTTATTATTCCATTCCCATTGCAATAAATGACAACATTCCATTTGCTGTGCTATACGAGCAAACTAACTTTGTGATTCATGTAGTAAGGCACGCAGATCCCTACATAATTCCCTAGCTGTGTAATCTGCCTTCATTCAAATAAAGTGCTGTTTTTCTGTGCATTCTGCCAAAGTGAGCAAGTTTGAGCAATATTTCCCACATTATAATTTATTAATTTTTACCAATTTCTTTTTGCCCACTCATGGTATCTCTGCTGTATCATCATTATGTCCTCTTCACTACTTGCTTTCCTGTCTATTTTTGTTTCATTAACAAAGTTAACAACCATACATTCATCCAAGCGTTCATATAAATTGTAAATGGTTGAAGCCTCAACACTGCAGTTGCTTCATCTTGTTAAGCCTGAAATGAATCATTTATGTCTTCTCTGTAGCTAACAAGTTCCCTATGAATGCTAATTAGTTACCTACTATGTAATAAGCTCTTAGTTTCTGTGCTATTTTTTCTTGCTTTTTGGCAACCAGAACGTCCATATTGCAGCATTCTGTGATCGGAATCAGCGCAGCAAGTAGTCAGGAAAACAAATGTAGTATTGGGTTTTCTTGCAAAGAAGATGCAAAACAAAAGTAGTGAAGTCTTGCTACAACTATACATCAAGTTATATGCCAGCGAGAATATATGCCATACATTTTTGGTTTCCTTGTTTAAGAATTTGTATGCATGCCTTGGAGTTGATTCAAAGAATATTCACAAAACTGATCGCTGCTATGCAGTGTTGTCTTTTGAGGAAAGGTTGAATAGCTTTGACGTATAATCATTGGAGTTTGGTAGAATGAGAGGTGATTTTATTGAAATATAGGGTTGTAGGAATATTGAGAGAGTAGATTCTGTGAGGATGTTTCCCCACAAGGGTGGGGTGGAAAACCATAAGACGTAGGAGCTGAGGTAGGCCATTGCAGCCCATTGAGCCTGCTTTGTCATTTAATAAGATCATAGCTGCTCTAATGTTCCTCAACTTTTCTTTTCCTGCCTATCCCTGTAATCCTTGATCCCTTACTGATTAAAAATCTGTCCACCTCAACCTTGAGTATACTTAATGACCCAGCCTTGATAGTTCGTGTGATAAAAGATTCCACATATTCAATACCTCTGAGAGAAGAAACTTTCCCTCATGCTCTGAGATTATGCCTTCTGTTCCTAGACTCTCCCACAAGAAGAAACATCTCTGCATCTACCCTGTCAAGCCCCCTAAGAATCCTGTATGTTACAGTAAGGTTTCATCTCTTTCTTCTGAACTTCAGTGAACATAAGCCCAAACTACACAACATCTCTTCATAAGAAAATTCCTTTACACCCAGGAGCAACATAGTAAATTTTCTCTGGACTGGCTCTAATGCCAGTATATATTTCCATAGATCAGGGGATCCAAACTGTTCAGAGTATTCCAGTGTGGTCTGACTTCTACCTCGAATTGTTTTAACAAGACCTTTTTTTTAACATTTGAAATAAGGGCCAAATTCTGTTTGCCTTTTCTGTTATCTACTGAATTTGGATGCTAGCTTATTATGAGTTATGCAAGAACATCCTTCCATTCTGCAGTTTTCCGTGGCCTTTCTCCATTTAACTAATGTTCAGCTCTTCTATTTTTCCTTTTGAAGTGCATGGCCTTGCACTTTCCTACGTTCACTTAATCTGTCTACATCCTTATGTAAACTCTGTACCATCCTCACGACTTACTTTACCACCTATTTTTGTGACTTCCGCAAAATCGGCAATACTACATTCACTTCTGTCAGCTAGGTAGTTAATATACAATAAATAATTGTGTCCCCAGCACTAATCCCTATTCTGAGGAAGGGTCACTGAATCCAAAATGTTAACTTTTTTCCTTCACAGATGCAGCTAAACTTACTGAGTTTTTCCAGCAATGTCTATTTGTGTCACTGACCCCTGTGGTACTGCACTAGTTGCAGGTTGCAAATCTGAAAATACTTCCTTTGTCCTTACTCTGTCTTTTATTAGTTAGCCTTCAAGTAGTAGTGGGGGTGGGGATGGGGACGTAGAACTAGACAGCATAGTTTCAGAATGACTGGTATCTCAGTTTAGGATGGAGATGAGGTATTTCCTCTTTCAAAGGGCTGAGTGTCTTTGGAATACTTTGGAAGGGTGATTAATTGAATATTCAAGCCTGAGATTGATGCACTTTTGAATGTAAGGGAATTGAGAGTAATGGGGAACAGGCAGGAAGCAAGATCAGATTATTCATGATCTTTTTAAAAGGCAGTGCAAGTTTGTGTTAACCCTATTTCTTGTGTTCTTATGTCACTAAAATTGAATACATTGGTATTTGAAAAGTCTATAGCTGACTTGTTTTACAGTGAACTGCCAATGCTATAATGTAATTGTTACTGGATGAAACATTAAATTGAAATGACTCATTTTTTTATTTTGGTTTGCTTTGTAATTCACTATCCGTGTTTTCTGTTTAAATACTAGGGATAGCAAATCGACTTGTAATAGTTTCACAAGAGAATATCAGTATCCATTTAACTATGCTTTTGAAGAAGGTGTATCATCCTAGAATTTTAAATGATTAAACATAACCCAAATTGTTTCAGTAAAATAATTACGAATCTTTACATTTTTTACATTTTCATATTTGCTTTCCTCTTTCTTCTTTAGATATCGCCAATGGTTCAGGTTCAGGAGGAGGTTATCGACCTCCCCCCAGAACAAAAGAGGTGATAATTAATGGGCAGACAGTCAAGTTAAAGTACTGTTTTACCTGTAAAATCTTCCGGCCACCACGTGCCTCCCACTGTAGCCTTTGTGATAATTGTGTAGGTAAGTGATTTCCTTGTGAGGTGTTTAAATAAAAAATGTTATGGTAAGACAAAAAGAAATGCTGATAATATGAGCTCTGAACCTCCAGTTCCACTGAACTGTTGTAACTAAAAGGGAAATGTATTTTCTTTGTACAGATTGTTAGAATATGATGAGGCGAATAATTACAGAATAATCTTTTAATGGTCACATTTTGCTCTATCATTGGTAAAGTAAGTTTTAATAAAGCCACTTTTAACCTATTGTTGTTTCCTAGTTTATACTATATATTGTATAATATTATAAAAAGCTTGAAATATTCAATAGCTTATGCTGTAATTCCAGTTGAAGAAATTATACTGCAGTGTCTTCAGAAACTTGTAATCAAGCTTTCCAAAAACTTGCCTTTGCCCAGTTTTCCTAAGTCTCATTACATACCTGATCATCTTTTTCATCAGTTCTACATTGAAGAAAGTTTATATGTGTGATATGTTTTCAATTTTGAGTACCTGGTACAAGTGGTATTTTACAATTACCATGAAGCAGTTATTTGTCTATTAAAATTGAGTTAATGGAATTGTGCATTTTTGAGTACAAACAATTTCAAACTAATACATTGCTTTTTATTTCAATGAAAAGCAGATTAAACATTTAGCCTTTTTAATAACATTCTTTTACTGAACTAGAGATGTGATTTTAAAAAACAACTTGAAAAATGGATCAAATTATTGGATGTTGGCCATCCTCTCCGTGTATTCTGTTTTGTTGTTTCAATTTTTTAAAAATATAAATGTCCATGACAATGAATAATTGACTGTGATGTAATATAACACAGTAACAACAGGTAATGTATTCACATTGTGCTCAGTGTCATCTTGTTGCTGTGGAGATGGGAAATGGAAAATCAGTGCAGTTTTTACTGGTTATCTGTGTTAGAGGTTGTTGGACTATAAAAAGCTATAGTGTTAGTGATTTAATTATACATGTGTTTGTATTGTGCTGTAGAGATTTTTTTAAAAAAAATCATAATTAGATTCCATACATGGTACACTTTCAACATAAAATCTTGTGATTTTAACTAAAGTGACTACAGCAGTTATCCACCGATCAACATGGAGGAGTAGGCATCCAGATTTGAGAGTTTTGAAGCTGGTATTGTGTGTTTATTTAGACTAACAAATAGTGTTAAGCGTTATATATTTGACTGTATATGATACTATTCTTTCTCTAGACTGAAAATCCATGATTTTTTTTTTAAAAGTAAACCAAAAATGCCATACATTGTGGATAATACCTTATTGTTAGAAAACGTCAGAAAGGTGAATTGAGATAATGGATTTGCAGCCTTCAACAACATGTGGATTTGCCAGGAATGAACCACTGACTAGGAATCTGCAGAATATACCCTGATCTTCTTTCCCAGGCTGAACATAATAGATGTTTTCACAGGAAGTACAATGTTTTCAACAATGAAGCACGTCAATAAAACATTGTAAAGGCTTACAGGCATGATTCTGAGTATGCCTTGAAATTCCATTTACGTGCAAGTTAGTGGCATACTGAGCAACTGTGATGCTTTAAATATCACAAAAATACGGTAGTGACTGTGGCAGTATTGTTTGAATTCATAATTTATTGTATTCTTCAGTGCTTAAAACTTTTATTCTTGCAAATAACATCCTTTTATTTAAATGCACGTATTGTTGAGAGTGCTTAATTTTAAAATCAAACTTTATGATTAACACCACCTAACAGCTATATTTGAGCATCTAATTTTCAATTCTCTGATCTCTTTGATAACCTCCCTAAAAAGAATAATTTTGACTGGGTTTGTATTGAATTCTGAAAATACTCCCAAGCTAAATATTTAGAAATTATTTAAAAATACAGAGATCAGCAAATTCGTACATGACGTCTCCGTTCGGACATGCTTGCTGTAAGGTATACTCATCAGACCTTTGTTGCAGGCACCATTTTCAGAGATCTTAGCTGTTCCAAGTTGATGGCATGCTCCCATGGATTTTAACTAGCTCATCCAAATGAATAGGCATACTTCAGACATGTCTTCTCATTCCAAAAATCATAAATGCTTTAACAAGAAGTTAATATGTTAATCAGGAATACACAAACTTGACACATACCACCAAAAGATCCCAATAAGAAAATGAAAAGGAACCTTTTGCAGCAGAATTTACATCATTAGAATATTTTACTAATTGACATTCTTTCAAACCATTATAAATCCAGCAAGTGTAGCAGTTCTCAGCAGTTTGTATCAGTGCATCTGCTGGAACTGTAGAAAACGTTGGTTAGGCCACAGCTAGAGTATTGTGTTCAGTTCTAGAATTCACATTATAAGAGGGATGTGATAACACTGGAGAGGGTGCAGAGGAAATGTACCAGGACGTCACCTGAACTGGAAAGTTTCAGTTATGAAAAGACAGACTAGGGTTGTTTTCTTTGGAGCAGTGCCGATTGAGAAGGGACATGATTGAGTTGTATAAAATTATAAGAGGCATAGATGGTGTAGACAGGAAGAAACTTTTCCCGTTGATGGAGAGTTAAGTGAACTACGAGGCATAGATTTAAGGTAAAGGACATGGTGGAGGACACTAACGATCTCAAAGCATAAACAAATGATAATACAGTGATAAATGTTAACTGTTTCTGCTGCTGATTAAGCAACTTGCATCAACTTTTCTTGTTGTATTGGCATGAGGCATGAATTTTGATCATGACATATTGAAGAAGGAAGCATTGAATTTTTTACAATATATTGCAATCTATAAAATATCACAAACAAGTATTAGAGTATATTTCAAAACCAGATGCATCTGCAATTGGTTCACTCTTTGGAAACATTCCTTATTAATTTCATCACTGTGGAACCAGTGAGCGCTAGACTTTGTTGCCATTCATTCCTTTTCTAACATTCCATTAGGCTGTATGGAATCCTGGACAAAAGAGCTGAACATCCTGTGCATTGCTTTAGCACTGCATAACAAAGGCTAGAGGTAGTGCTTGACTGATTTTGCACTGTATTTCCTTCAGCCAGACTTGTCCAGTAACAATAAATGAATGATATCCAAAGGTTTTACCACCCACAATCCCCACTAAAGCAGTCATGTCTTGCTCAGTGGTCCCCCAACTGTTGTTCTATTATTTGTATTGAACTACATCTACTCAGAACTACATCTGGATAGACCAAGATGCACAAAAATTGACTAGTTGGCTTTAAAAAAAACTGTTATCACAGCCTTACACATCCCTCATTGATCAATTAAGTTCCTTAAATAAAACTAAACCTGAAAGTTTGGGCTAAGCTATAAGGTAAGTCCTGTCAATCTGGTTCTCTGAATACACAGAACATGTCCTAGATCCAACTATGTTTGTATTATAAGAGCATTTCTAGCTAGCATATACTAAATGTTAATAAAAACAAAATATTGTGGATGCTGGAAGTCTGAAACAAACACAGAAACTCAGCAGATCAAATAGCTTCTATGCAGAGAGAAACAGAGGTAATGTTTTGAGTCCGATGTGATTTTTCTTCAGAATTGGTAGAGACATCTTTTCAACTGACATCCAGCTTCCTTTCAAAGAGTTCCCAACCAAAATAGACTGCAAGAATTCAGCAGAGTAAACTGTTAGAAAAGTTCTAATGGCAGTTCTGAAGAAATCATATTAAAAACGTTAACTCTGTTTCTGTCTTCACAGATGGTGCCAGACTTACTGAATTCCTCCAGCATTTTCTGTGTCTGTTCACGTGTTAACATTTCGGTCATTTTTTTCTGTTCCATTGTGCTTGGAGTTGATGTGGCAACTGGTCCACAAACTATTAGATTAGTCAATTTGCTGCCTCGGCACCCTGCCATGACTGCTGCAGCTGATTGTGTTGAATTAACATAGGATAAGTTTCCTTTACCAACAACAACCATGCTCAGAAAGCAAGATAGCTATAACTCTCACCATTCAATTTATTCTCTAAGAAACTCTAAAATAGCACAATATTGAACTCACTGCTTGTTCAGTTTCTGTGAACACAATATTTTATGCCACAGGCACAGGTATTGACCTCAAAATCATCAGTGCAAAACTTATGTAATGTATGCTGTTCAGTAACTATTATTCAAAGCCAGCTAAAGCAAAAAAAAAATGTGCTCTTGTTTTTGGAATTAAGACATGAGCAATCCTTTTGTCATCTTTTTATGCATAACTTTTCACATGAATGTGAGAATGATTTCTTTGTGACCCTGTCAATCCACATTGCAAATATTTGAACAGAATCATAATAAGCTTTATATTCATGTAATTTTTTTGTTTGTCCCATGTTCACTGTGACCATGCATAAAATGGTACTGTATTCTTTGCATTCGGGGTCAGAGACACAGACAGACATTTCTTCAGCCGACAGTGAGACATCAGAATGGTGTGTTGCCTCCCTGGTGCCAGGATCAAGGATATCTGGGAGAGGGTGCAGAATATTCTCAAAGGGTAGAGGGACCAGCAGGAGATCGTTGTACGCATTGGAACTAATGACATAGGAAGAGAAAGGGATAGGATTCTGAAGAGAGAATGTAGGAAATTAGACAGGAATTTGAAAAGGACGTCCTCAAGGGTGGTAATATCTGGATTACTCCCGGTGCCACAAGCTAGTGAGAGTAGGAATAGGAAGATAGCAGAAGAATGCATAGCTGCAGGGGAGAAGGATTCACATTTTTGGATCATTGGAATCTCTTCGGGTTAGAATTGACCTGTACAAGAAGAATGAATTGCACCTGAATTGGAAAGGGGCGAACATAGTGGCAGGGAGTTTTGCTACAGCTGCTCGGGTGGGTTTAAACTAGTAAGGGAGGGTGGGGTTAGGATCCAGGGAAATAATGAGAAAAGAAATCAGTCGGAGACTGGTGCAATTGGGAAAAGGAACAAGTCAAACAGTCTGGACAGGCAGGAACAAAGCAGAGAACGAAGTAGGACTGATAAATTAAACTGCATTTATTTCAATACAAGAGGCCTAACAG